ATATTGAATTATACCTATCCTTCCACAAACTCAGAGCCAGGAAAATACATATTTTATTTACGACGGTGCTGCCAGAAATGAAGCAGCTGCTGAAATGGAGCACGAAGAATGACTCTCAAATACCTCCAATCTCGTTTCAGTTTGCAGTCCCACAAACAAAATACATATCGGTGAACACCATAAATGCATATCGGTGAACATGTTAGGATACGTGAGGCTTAAAATCAGCACGCAGGCTTTGATTCATGAAACCGCTTTTAACTACCGATCTCAACAGCAGACCACCCCAACCCGCGTTTCCGCCCATACATTCCGCTCCTAAATTTGCTTATTTCGCTCTTCATTACCTGCATTTATAATTTCCTAGATGTTTTTTTAATTGTCTGGTATATGTGTCTATAAGGTTATACATTGTCTAAGATTATTCTAAAAACTCTTGTGCTGGTTGTTTGTATTAGATTTATTTTACTATTAATGCAGACTTATTTATTATCAAGACTGGCATATAATTCCGAATTTTTAATCAATTCCATTTCCCTACATACTAGTATATTGCAGTAAAATTCTCCAGTTATCAAGTGCTCAAGACCGCTGAATACTGGTAATATTTCACACGGGCTTCAATCCTGCCTAAAGGTTCCGCTACATAAGTATTTTCTCCCTCCTTTCCGTATGCCTCCATGTTGTGACGAGAAGCACACTCGACGCGTATTCGAGAGGTCTTGAGTTCCCGGCGAGGGTTCTGCTCATTTTCACGTATCCGGCATCGATAATCCTAATGACTTAAAAATAACATCTCATCCCCAGTCGCCATTTAAAAGGTCCCCTCATCCCCAGTCGCCATTTAAAAGGGGGAGTATATTATGTATTTCCTGCCTTTATTATGTCCCTGCGAGGGTACTGCACACTTTCATGTTCACCAATATAATCGTATGCAACATGTCACCAATATAATCGTATGCAACATGTGACCAATATAATCGTATGCAACATGTCACCAATATAACCGTATGCAACATGTCGCCAATATAACCGTATGCAACATGTCGCCAATATAATCGTATGCAACTGGCGCCTGAACTAAAAGGTGATGAACGATGATTCCTCACGATCAGGATTTCATGAATGGGATCCCTAATCGCCAGTCGACCTTTAAAAGGGGAAGTATATAATATATTTTCTCCCTTCTTTCCGCGTGGCTTGGTGGTGTAACTAGAAGCATACTCAACGCATTTTCAGGAGGTCTTGAGTTTGAATCCCGGCGATTGAGTTGCTCATTTTTCACATCTCCTGCACTGATAATCCTTGTGATTCTACAGCATTTTCCCCATTTGTAACGTAAGTACAACCTAATCTTTTTTAAAAAACTAAAAAAGGGTTTCCATAATTCCCTTTAGGCAGATAGCCCTTTTATGCTTTGTCGTACTCGTACAAATCAGTTCACTCCGCAACGTTTTGACAACGTGTTTAATTTCTTTATATTTAATTCCATTTTGCACAATTCAATATTTTATATGAAAATACGTGCAATATTAATAAAAGAAAATCTTTTCCAAAGTGGTTAAGATTAATTGTTTCTTTATTTATTTATTTCATGGTGCATTTTATTGCTTTGCTATATTTTTGTTTTTCAAAATTAGTGTACTATTTGATAACTTTTAAAGTGGATTTTAAATGGATGAAATGTTGAAGATAATTCAGAAAGTACACTGTAGCTACGTTGTTGTCTTATACCTTTATTAAATGTAAACTAACATTTACTTTATGAACTAAACACTTTAGTTCCTCATTGCCTGATGTTCGTTGCTTAACTTTCATTAAACTCTGAAATCGTATGCTGGGAGTCTTAAAAATCCCACTGTTAATATGGTTTGAATGACTAGTAGTATTAGAACTCTGGCTTCAATGTATGAAATGCATCAAAAATAAAGTAAGATTTCGGTATACGTTTATTCTTTATTTGATACCTCTCTATCTAAATGGACAAAATTTCAACTCTTATTCCAGCTCCGCATTAAGAAAATGCCAATAACGAGTGTTTGTTATAACCGAAATTGTCAAACATAGAAAACCCTAGTGTCATAAACTCAAAATTACCGAAGATGTCATAAACGTTTAAGAGATTATAAACAAATATTATTAACAGTTACAGATGGTACGTTTCTAACGGGAAATTTGCAAGAGATGCATTTTACATCAGGATATCATAAAAATGTAGCAGCATGACTTGAAAATTTCAATTTGTAGAAAGTCTAATATTTGGAATTTTGTACTTAATGAAGATAAATTTTTAAAGGATCTCCAAATCATATAATTTGTACAGTTTTTTAAGGTTAGTTTAGTATATAATGGAATCAATTGTTTTTCCTCTTCAAATGATCTCTTGTAAGGAGATATTCCATAAAACTTTATTTATAAACGGCTGGTATAAAATTTAAGTTTCGTATGACTTACTAAAATATGCCACTTAATCAAAATTACCGCACTCTGACTTATTTGATTTTTTCCTTAAATTGGAAACATAGCTCCATTACAAGTACATTCTTCAAGATATATTTTGCAATCATTTTTGAACACCTTATATATGCAAAATAATAAACGTTCCTGAAGGAAGAAAACTTTCAGAGCAAATAAGATTGAATGAAATTATGGATGAAAGCTTTCAGCGTAAATAAAATTGAAAGAAAAAAGCTTTCAGCGCAAATAAAATTGAAAGAAAGTTCAGATTCTTGTTTCATAATTAGGTATATTGAATCAGATAGGAATTCAAGCGTTTGGGTGAGTTTTACTGAAACCAAATTAATATGATCAAAATATTATTTTATCTTACTTTTTTGGCCCCTTGGCTAATGAAAACTATTACAATTGTTTGTTTTTCAATTAGTTACGAAATGCACGCAAGTGTTATTTCCTCTAGAAGAGTAATGACTTCATAAAGGATTTCCTTAGGGATAATTTTTCGTATTTATGAGAAAATCGTGAAATCTCCAGATAGCCAGGGTATTCGCCGAGACCCAAATTCAGGCTCAACCGCTGTTCAGTGGTTTAGGCACTTGATCACTGATGGGCTCAAAACATATTAATAAAGTAAAAATCGAAATTCGGATGAAATATACATACTTATTTATTTATTTTCAAGCGAAATCTGCTAAAGCATTATGAATTTTTCCATATTATTAAAACACATAACTGTAGCTATTTTATCGAAGTCCAACAAATGCAAAGAAAAAGCTATATTCCTTTCACATGAATTATCAAAAAGAACGGAAGTCAGCATTACATGTATCATAGTTAATTAATTACAAATGCATCCGCGTGATTTGAAAACGAAGATCTCAATGCTTTAAGCCGCTCCCATCATCCCAAAATCAAAAGCCACAGAAAGGAATGATACAATTATATAGCTTTGCCCACACCATTTAAAAATCTGCTTATTCTGCAAATGATTCTATCTTTTTATTACTTGCGTGGGGTATTAAAATATATAGCCATTACATTGAACCTTTCATTAAAAGTGAAAATATATTTGTATTGTAAAGTTTTGCATCAAGTAAAAGAAAGCCATAAGAGCTCTATGAAACGTAAGAACTAAAATCTCTGAAAAATTTGAAACTGATGACTTTTTCCTTTAGTAGAAAACAGATGGCATCTTCCTGCATAACTTTATTGGTTAGACCTGACATTTTTAAACTTTTTTCTTGTTTCAGGTACGACAAAAATCTCCATCCGACCAACCACTTGCAGGAGATCAGAATTTTCAGTGGAGTAGCATCAACACATGATTGGATTACACTTCCTAAAGAAATCTATTTCATTCATAAATACCTAACATGAAATGAATTTAGGCAGAACTAAATTCTTCTTCAAGAAATAAAAAGTGTTATATTTTCGAAAACTGAGCATTAGATTCCTGACAAAAGTAAAATTACCTGTTTACGTTTCTTTTTTAGCCCAAAGGGGCCAATTTGCACAGGACTATTAATTTCGTTTTGGCATTTTGCGTTGAAATGTCGGTTCACTTTTCAAATTGTCGCCACAAAATATTAGAGCCCTGTATATTTTAAAAAAAAAATAAGAAGAGAATCTGCATCAATGTAGTATGTCTATCGCATTCTGATAAAACAACGTTAACTAGAGCCATCTCTTTTCAATAAGGTAATCCTCCACCGCGTCTGAACTTGGAATTTGAATGTGTTTTATATCTACTTCATATTCTGTAAACCGTTACGAAGTTTGATTAAGAAGCTCACTATTTCAAAGCGAGAAATGGCAAAATGTACGGAAAAAAAAAAAAAAAAAAAAAAAAAAAAAAAAAAAAAACAATTTTTATCACCCATGCAAGACGTGTATGTAAAATTCTAAAGACATACTCATTTTAAAATTATTTTGCGATATTGCTGTTGAACTTAATTTTATGGTTTAAGTGCGAAGAATATGATATTTAATGAATAAAGGTAACACACAAAACGTTAAAAAATCTGTAAAATCTGAAAACTTTCAGATTTTTATATTTTCTTTTCTTTTCTTCTAATTTCTTCGATACCACAGAAATAAATAACATATATTAAAAACCCTCAGATTCGAAGCTTTGGGTTACATTTAGAGTTTATCTGATATGTAATGTAAGTAAATAATGTAAGCAAATAATAAAATATAGTCTCTAAACACTGACATTTAAGAGGATCAATGATGTAAAAGAATGAAAGACATCGCATTAAAAGCAATTTATTTCAGTATATATACAGCTATGTGCTGAAACTTCTCCATTATGATAGACAACAATAAATAAAGAAATGATGTTGTGTAGAATTTTAATTTCAGATTGTGTCTTATTCTTCAAATCTGCGTTACAGTTATCCAGGGGCATTCTTTATAACAGATAATTTTTAAACGTGCATTTTGTTCTATTTTAGTATCCTCGCCAGTGGCCAAGTGGTTAAGATTGCTATATTGGCAGTTCGACTCGAGTTCGATCCAGGCCTAATGGGCTGGCTACGTGGGGGGTTTTCGTGGTTTTCCCTGTGTGTAACCTGAATAAGAGCCAGTTTCTTGTAGAAAGTTCTCCGCGAAGGTATCCCTCTTCATTGCAAATAGACTGCGTGTGTTCAGATAACCTTATCAATTCTAGGAAAATATTAAGTAACAATAGTAATTTTAGTATTATTCAATTAATAATAAAGTCTTCCATAATACTGTAATAATAATACCATAATAACATAATAAGTATACCAAGTATAAATTTTAAATGGCTAGAAAGGGGCGATTATGATTAGTTTTGAATAGAAATCTGCAATTCCAAATGGCTAAAAGACAGAAAAGAATTTTAGGTGCGGAATGCCACAAATAATTCCGTTTTGGAAATTTGCTTAATTCCTGCTTCTAAATCCTATCCGGCAAATGATAAAAACCTTCACAGAACACTGAGAAAAGAGTCAAATGCTTATTTTAGCTCAACAATACATGTCTGTTACATTTATTCCACCTTCTGAGTCAATTTCTGTGAGTCACTGGTAGAAGTAAAATAACTAGTACTCACTTTTCATGTTTGAAACAAAATAGAAAAAATACCTAAAATCACAGTTAAAAAAAATTCGGGTTATAATTTAGTTACTTTGATTTACTTTTTACGTTCCCACTAATACGCATCCCTAAATATTTCTTGGCTGAAACCACAGGGCTTTTAAAGTCTTTTCTAAGGAAAATCCTCAACGAAAAACCCACGTACGTAAAGCAACTGAGGACGTAACTTAAGCTTCTCTTTAAAATCTGTTATTGCCAACTTAAGGAGCCTAATGTAGAAATTATTTTTCCATTTCACGTAAAATTTTTATTAGATGGGGAACAACTAAAGCTTATTTTAAGAAATGCTTTTTGTTTTTCAGTCACTCTCTCTAGAAAAAGGATAGCTTTATCCGTCGAAATTATTGCTATCCCCAAACCCTGGATGTCCCATTTATACTAATCCGCTTAGCAGGGTACGAAAATCCTATCATACTTGTCACAGAAGACCCTCGCTGTTAATTTTACGCTTGGCTGAATAGTTTTTATCCTCATTTTCGAAAAAGGGGAAAAACATTACACTCTTCTGCCAGCAAGATAATCTTAAGGCCGAATTGTTTTAGATACGTTAGCGTCGAAACTTATATTAGTTGGTAACGCTTCCTCCAGACCTTTTGTTGTTTGAAGGCTCAGACAGCATTGCTACGATAGGAAGAAAAGAATAACATTTCATTTAATCCTGCCACCTTTTCCAAAGGTTTCATTCTTAAATTACATTCGAATGCTTCTACGGTACACAGCAATAGCCATATGGAAGTTAATCGTATTGTTATGGCAAAATGCGTTCATATGTTAGATTGGAGAATAAGGCCTGTTGCAGGAAAGTTATTGAATCAAAAGAGCAGACTATACATATATTTGCCAATGTAATTGAAATTTCAGTTTATCATTGCCTTACACAAAGTGTAATATCTTTTTTAGCATGATAGTAATATTTTATGCATTGTAAGGATTATGTTAATTTTATTAACAGTTAAATTTTAAGTTAAAGTTCCTTTACTGTCAAATTCTTAACTTCCGGCCAGAACGTAGTTTTGGAATCACTCTGAATACTTAATGAGGAGGAGCGGTATTTAAACAGCGAAGTCTACTTGCAGAGTTAGAGAGAATCGGAGTTTCTGATTTGCGTGCGTCTGCCTTTTGAGTACTCTCTCTCTCAAAGCTGTTATTACGCTCGGCCGTACTCAGGCCCTTGATAAGCTTCGTAGTCAAATAGAGTTAAGGGGCCAACTCGATTAGAATCTTGATAGCTTCGGCTGTATTTCTTCAGTTAATCTTAATTTTAGTTTATTTCTTAGTCTCTTAAGTTCAAGCCCAAGTGTTGGCTTTTATTGTACATTCCAAGACGGAGTTTTGTTAAATCTTATTGGAATAATAAAGGGATAGTTACCCTTCCATCTTGTTGTTTCTTGTCCCACGAACTTAAGCGATTATTCACTAACTAGTTCTTAAGGTTACTCACTTTTGACTGCAACTACACAGTCGTAAACCTCACAGTATGTTAAGTAATAATGTTTAACAGGTATCAAGTCTAATGCCAAAATTTAATTTCTAATTAATATCGATCCAAATTCAATGCTTTTACTCGCATTGCACTTTAGGTTTTTAATATTTTGTCTACAAAACAGCTTCTAACTGCTTCCAACACCTATTAACTATAGAGCAGTGATATTCAAGCTTTATATTTTTTTGGCAGAATGCAAATAACTCCCAAAAAGCAATTTCGCGACCCTAGTCAGAGCCTTGACTCTTTGTTATACACCATGAATTAAGATATTTTAGGAATTTTATTCACGATCTCAAATTCGGTCGCGACCCATAGTTTGAATACCTCTCAATTAGAGTATTAAGAGCTTTTTTTGCATCATTTTTCTAGAGATTTATTTCGTTTGTTTGATTTTGTAACAGATTCTTTAAAAGATGATTATTATTCATCGTTTTTCCTAATAACTATTAATGATCTAACTGTTTCAGCTGTTTAAAATGTTAAAATAAGCATAGCCTTTTTCAATCAAAAATATTTCAACTGTTGTTCCACAAAAAAATGTTGTTAAATAACCCCGCTTTTTTTTTCAATTGCAAAAGAAAATGGCCATTAACGAAGAACATGCGTGCCTAGTTACTTTGTCTTGTACTTTGTCTCAGTTACTTTGTCTGTTTACTTGCTCAGTTCCTTTAGCTGAACAATCTAATTTCTATAATTCTCTATTACTAGCTATTCTGTATTAATACTCTATCCTTTGTTAAAGTATTCTATTACTTGTGGTGTTGCGCGGCCCCAACCTACACGCAACAATAATAGTGACTGCTATGAACTGGAAAGTACACAAAACTCTTAAGAAGGGTTTAACTCCCTTTTTATTCTACAGAATACAGATGCGCTTGACGCTCACAAACACGCCGACCCGGCGGTAAAATAAAAATAAGAAACTAAAATGAATAATAACAAGTTACTACCTACGAGGCTCTCTAAACGTAACTAACCTCGCCGCGTCTAAGATACAGCTGATATGTTCAGCAAACTTGTCTGAATATTAATTGCCTCGCAGATCGCCGAGGCCTCGGCGAAATTGCCTCGGCAGAGTCTGCCGAGCAGCACACAGGCCGAAACACGCGGTTTCTTCAATTTCCCCTGGCCACCTTCACGTGGAAGCAAGAAAGCACACATTCGAACTCGTTTCCCTTCTATTTAACTCAAATTTACTTCCGCTGAAAATCTGAATACTTTTGCGCGTTCTACTAAATTTACATACTCTGGCATTTGGCAATTCCAGGGGGGAAAGTAAGCTGCTTGACAGGAAAGATATTTTAAACTTAAAATAAATGTTAGTTAAAATAAATATAAACCCTACATACTATTAGCTCACACAATTACTATAATTCAAAAAGAAATAATCGTCACCTGGACCCCGGGATGTTCTTCCTCAAAATTGAGGGCGGAAATGAGATAAAGTCGAGCTGTCACTTATTTGGTGCTCAACGCCTCTTGCCAACGACAAGCGCAAAATCCTTCCCACGACATTTACTGTGGGCTTTTGCTGACCGTTGCCGGATAAATAAGAATGGTAACAAGAACAGAAATAATCGTGAGAATTCTTCTGAAATAAGTGAAAACTTCAGATGAATATTTAAAACAAATATTAGGAACATACTTGAGGAAATTCCAGTTTATTAGTTGCACTCATCAGAGGATATCATTAGTGATATTTACTGAAAAATCTATCTTGATCATCTATCTTGTACCTCTACTGCCTAAGCAATACCTTTCTATTTCCTGAGTGAAGTCCACATTAGGCATGGTGTTAAAAAGCATGAAGAAATACTCGTTGCAGGAGAATGTGATGTTAATAAAAGAAGAGGCCACATTTTCCTCTGTAAAGCAGAAACAGCAAAAGCAATTTTGAAGCTAGAGGTATAGGCGGCGCATTCTGATGCGTTGGGGAGTGGTAAAGAACCTGGAAGTAAAGTCCGTAACTGAAAAGGAGACTGCAGATCTTGGGCAGGAGCCCGTTTATCATAGGAAGCTAAAAATTTAATGAATTAAAAATTCCTCACGTTTAGAGAATGCTAAAAGTCAGTATTGTCCTTAAGAAGTATGGAGAAAACTGTAAAAATTCATCAAGGCCCGATGGAAGAAATATTTGTACTATCGGTGGACCGAACGCGAGATCCCAATTTCTTCGCTGAAAACACTGATCAGAGCCAATAAGATATCGTTGTTTTGCTTTTCGTTGTGTGAAAGTACTAGTCAATCAGAAAGAGGAATGCAGAGTCTTCATCGTAAGAGTAAAGAGAAATTACAAATTTGTTTGAAGTTATTTCACATGTTCTAATTTTTGAAGAGGAGATTTAGAAGCTTTGCAGAGCTTCACAGTCTCTAAAAATTTTTATAACAATTTTGATAGTCCGAATTAGTGCAAAAACGGATTAATTAATTCTCAGTCTGCACGCGTCTCCGCTAGCATGGTTTTGAAAGTCGTCAGAAGAGTCTAATCTGTTTGAGATAGCGTCAGAAGAACTGGATTAGTGGGCATCGATTTGTTGAATGTCATTGGACTTGTATGCTTCTATTAAGAGAATGAAAAGCACATTTAATCGAAGTGATTATGTGATCTAAATTGCATCTGATGCATGTTCGTTTATCATCTCTGGGCAGTTTACAAGTATAAGAAAGATGATCGTTGCACAGTAGAGGCAGCGTGGTAAATTGTTATATCCATTCTGACCATGGTCAAAGCGCTGCCATCTTAGAAAATTTGATCATCTTACGATCTTATTCATATCATATTCAGAGATTTGTAAATCCAATTCTTGGACTCTCTTTTGAAATGTGCTAGTTTAGTGACCGTGTGTTCCGCGTCAGTAAAGCTGCTTGTGTATTGAATCAGGGTTTTCATCTATCGGAAGCCCATGGATAGCCACTTTGATGAGAGATTGTTTCTTCTTCCTTAAGGTGAAGAACTGGGTCTCAGTTTTTAAAACAGCACCCAGTGCCCTTTCTCTGGCATAAAAAAAAACGTTTAAGCGAATTTCATCTCTTATCAGGATGCCGGAATAGTCACTGA